TTCAGACAACCAAATTTGAGGGAATTTGTTGCCAGAATACCTGTCTTGCAAGAAACGTTAAAGGAAGTTCTTCATAGAAAAGGAGAAAATGATATTGGTCAGAAGCTTGGATGTATAAAAACAAAGGAAGAGCATTACAGAAGGAAGAAATGAAAGTAAAATAAAATTTTTCTTGTTTGTAATTCATCCAACAGAGGATCTTGTTAAAAATAGTAACAGTCACAATGATATGGTGATTATACCTTGTGGACAAGTGAAACGAAGGACAGCAATTTTACAAGGAACAAGAGAAAGGAACTGGAAATACTGATATAAGGTACTTTCATTACATGTGAAGTACTGCAATGTAATTTCAAAGTGGACTTGGATTAGCTATAAATTACGTATAATATATACTCTACAGTAACAACTAAAATAAAATTTTAAAAAGGATACATACACATAACTGGTATCAATACGGGAAGAAAATAGAATCACATAAAATGCTGTTTAAAATAAAGCAGAAAACAGTAGCAAAAAAAAAGGGGGGCAACAAAGAGAAAATAACAAATAACGTAGAGAAAAATAAACATGTCAATAATCAATTTGGCTAAATAAAACAACTGAAAAAACAAAGGATTTGGTCTGTAAGAAACCCACTTTATATACAGACACAATATTAAAAAATAGAGATGAGAGAAAAGGTCACACATCAGCAAGATGTTGACATAAATAGCTCCAAGTTCCATCAGCCAGGAAACACCCCACCAAACAAACAAACCTTGTAGAACCAACTTTGTGAGAATTTTAGAAAATTTTAACATAACTATACCGAGTAGGGAGCCTTGGTGGCACAGTGGTTAAGAGCTCGGCTGCTAGGCAAAAGGTCAGCAGTTCGAATCCACCAGCTGCTCCTTGGAAACCCTATGCGTCAGTTCTACTGTGTACTATAGGGTCGCTATGAGTCAGAATTAACTTGACGGCAACAGTTTTTGTTTTGTTTTTTTTATATCAAGTAGAGAGATTGAATCAGTAATCAACAACATCCGAAGAATAAAACACCAGACCTGATGGTTTCACTGCTGAATTCTACCAAGTATTTAAAGAATTTACAGCAACTCATCTCAAAAACTCCTCCAAAATTAGAAGGTGAGGTAACATTTTCTAACTTATTTTATCAAGTGAACATTATTCTGGTACAAAAGGAAGATACAGACGTGACCAGAAAAGAAATGACAATGTATCTGATGAATATAGGTGCAAAAATCCTCAACAAAATACTAGGAAACCAAATTACCCTCTACAAGTGAAGAAAAAATATTGCTGGTATTCATACCAGAATGCAAGGATGCTTAAATATGAGAAAATTAATACACCCCCATCAATAAAAAGGAAAACAAAACAAAACATGATATCTTAACCGATGAAAAAAAACTATTTCACAAAATCCAACACCCTTTGATGATAAAAACATTCAACATACTAGGAATCAAAGGGAAATTCTTTAACAATAGACATTCATGAAAAACTCACAGCTAACTTCATATTCATCCTTACGTGTATGTCAGTTTGTCATACTGCGGGGACTTGTGTGTTGCTGTGATGCTAGAAGCTATGCGACCAGTATTCAAATACCAGCAGGGTCACCCACGGCAGATAGGTTTCAGCTGAGCTTCCAGACTAAGAGAGACTAGGAAGAACCCGGCAGTCTACTTCTGAAAAGAATTAGCTAGTGAAAACCTTATGAACAGCAGCAGAACACTGTCTGATATAGTGCTGGAAAATGAGCCTCCCAGGTTGCAAGACACTCAAAAGAAGACTGGGGAAGAGTTGTCTCCTCAAAGTAGTCTACTCGAGTTGCAATAGTGAAGGATTCTATGGGGGAAAATATTAAACAATGCAGGCAGCATCAGGAACCGATGGTACTGAAGGAAGAAGTTCAAGCTGCACTGATGGCAATGGTGAAAAACAAGGCTTCAGAAATTGACGGATACCAATTGAGACGTTTCAACAAACGGATGCAGTGCTGGAAATGTTCACTTGTCTATGCCAAGAAATTACAAAGACAGCTACCTGGCCAACTGACTGGAAGAGATCCATATTTACGCCTATTTTCAAGAAAGGTCATCCAGATGAATGTGGAAATTATCAAACAGTATCATTAACATCACACACAAGTAAAATTTTGCTGAAGATCATTCAAAAGTGGCTGTAGCAATACATCGACAGGGAACTGACAGAAATTCAGGCTAGATTCAGAAGAGGACGTGGAACCAGAGATTTCATTGTTGATGTCAGACGGATCCTGGCTAAAAGCAGAGAATACCAGAAAGATGTTTACCTGTGTTTTACTGACTATGCAAAAGCATTCGACTGTGTGAATCATAACAAATTATGGATAACACTGAGAAGAATAGGAATTCCGGAACACTTAATTGTGCTCGTGAGAAACCTGTACATAGATCAAGAAGTAGTTGTTCGGACAGAACAAGGGGATACTGTGTGGTTTAAAGTCAGGAAAGGTGTGTGTCAGGGTTGCATTCTTTCACCATACATATTCAATCTGTATGCTGAGCAAATAATCTGAGAAGCTGGACTATATGAAGAAGAACGGGGCATCAGGATTAGAGGAAGACTCATTAACAACCTTTGATATGCAGACGACACAACCTTGCTTGCTGAAAGTGAAGAGGACTTGAGGCACTTACTGATGAAGATCAAAGACTACAGCCTTCAGTATGGATCACACCTCAACATAAAAACAAAAATTCTCACAACTGGACCAACAGGCAACATCATGATAAACGGAGAAAAGACTGACATTGTCAAGGATTTCATTTTACTTGGATCCACAATCAACACCCATGGAAGCAGCAGTCAAGAAATCAAAAGACACATTGCCTTGGGCAAATCTGCTGTAAAAGAACTCTTTAAAGTGTTGAAGAGCAAAGATGTCACCTTGAAGACTAAAGTGCGCCTGACCCAAGCCATGGTGTTTTCAACTGCCTCACATGCGTGCGAAAGCTGGACAATGAATAAAGAAGACCGAAGAATTGATGCCTTTGAACTGTGGTGTTGGCAAAGAATATGGAATACACCATGGACTGCCAAAAGAACGAACAAATCTATCTTGGAAGAAGTACGGCCAGAATGCTCCTTGGAAGCAAGGATGGCGAGACTGCATCTTACATACTTTGGACATGTTATCACGAGGGATCAGTCCCTGAAGGACATCATGCTTGGTAAAGTACAGGGTTGGCGAAAAAGAGGAATACCCTCAACGAGATGTACTGACAAAGTGGCTGCAACAATGGGCTCAAGCATAACGACTATGAGCATGGTGCAGGACCAGTGTTTCATTCTGTAGTACACAGAGTCGCTATGAGTTGGAACCGACTTGACGGCTTCTAACAACAACTAACATCTCATAGCCAATGGTGAAACAAAGAAAGCTTTCCCCTAAGATCAAGAACAAGAGAAAGATGCTTGTTTCTACCACTGCTATTCAACACTGTAGTGGACATTGCAGCCAGAGAATTCACGTATAAAAATAAATGGCACCCGAATGTGAAAGGATGCAAAACTATCTTTATTTGCAGATGACATGATCATACAGATAGAAAACCCCAAAAAACACACGAGAGCTATTAGACTTAAGAAAGGATTACACCAGAGTTATAGGATACAATATTAACATGTAAAAATCAGTTGTGTTTGTTCATCAAATCACTTTAAACTGGAGAGAATATATTAGAAGAAAATTTTTGGGAGCCATATATTGAATAAAGGTATAATATCTAGAAATGTATGAAGAATTCCTACAACTCAACAACAAAAAGACAACCCAATCAAAAATTAAGCAAAGGATTTGAACATTTAACGAAAGGAAAAATTCAAATGTCCAACAAGCACACAAAAAGATGTTCAATATAATTAGCAACTTGGAAAATCCAAACTGAAACCACAATGAGATATTACTTCACACCCATTAAGATGGCTATGATGAAAAAAAGTAAAAAACAGGTGTTGGTGAGGATGTAGAGAAATCACAAACTTCATGATTGCTAGTGGGATTGTAAAATGCTACGGCCACTGTGGAAAGTAATGTGGTGGTTCTTCAAAACTTTAAACACTGAATTACTATATGATCCAGCAATCCCACTCCTAGGTATATACCCAATAAATACAACAAGCAGAAACACAAATACTTGTACACCAATATTCATTGCAGCTCTATCAACAAGAGTCAAAAGATGGAAACAGTCTAAACATCCATCAACAGATGAGTGGATTTAAAAAAAAAGTGTGGAGCATACATACAATGGCAACTATTCAGCCATAAGGAGAAATGAAGTACTGATACATGCTACAAAATGGCTGAACCTTGAGAACCTTATAAGTGAAATGCCAGTCACAAAAGGACAAATATTGTATGATACCACTTTTATGAAATATGTAGAAAAAGAAAATGTATAGATAAAGTGTATTACTGGTTTCATTGGATGGGTGGCAGGGAAGAGGAAAGGAAGACAAAATGCTTAGGGGACACTGAGATGCTGTTAAGGGTGATGGGAAAATTTGGGAACGGTTGATGGTTGAACAAAATGAGCATATCATTGAACATGTACATGTTTAATGTACATACAGAGATTGTAGACATGGCAAATGTTTTGTTACATATGTATCTAGTACAATAAAAACAAACAAAAAAACCCAAAAAGAAATCATTCTATACGATTCCTCAACAACCTGAAAAGAAAATTCAGAAAGCAATTCCATTTACAATATCATTGAAAAGAATAAAATACCTAGGAATAAATTTAACCAAGGAAGCCATTAGAACTGCCCCTACCAAGGAAAATAGCAAACCAAAAGCAATACCACATTCCTAGAGGTAGTGCAGAGATTACTGCCACCACCAAGGACTTAATTCCCACCACATTCTCATTCAACTTGACTCTCAGGTCTGGGCAAAAAACAGATGGATCTTGGAGAATGTCAGTGGGTTATCAAAAACTTACCAGGTGTGACTCCAACTGCAGCTGCTGTTCCAGATGTGGTTTCATTGCTTGAGCAAATACATGTCCTGGTAACTGGTATGCAGTTATTGATCTGGCTAATGCCTTTCTCCACACCTATTTTAAAGAACCACCAAAGCAGTTTGCCTTCAGCCTGCAAGCCAGCAACCCATCTTCACTGTCCTACCTCAGAGGTATAACAGCTCTCCAGCCCTATGTCATAATTTAGTCGGTAGGGACCTTGATCACCCATCCCTTCCACAAGATGTCACACGGGTCCATTACACTGATGACATGCTGAGTGGACCTAGTAAAGAAGAAGTCAATGAAGCTGGACTAATTGGGAAGAGATTATGTCTGGAATACACAGATTCCTTAGTACTATCATGCCCTGTGATTCAAGTCCACAGAAGACTACAGCAACCCAATTCTGACATGACTAACAGCTCAGACCCTTCAGGAATGAAGGTTTGGGTCACCCCACCAGGCAAAGAACCATGACCAGCTGAGGTGTTTGCTGAGGATAAAGGGAATACAGAATGGGTGGTGGAAAAAAGTAGTTCTATATAGCAGCTACAATCACATGGCCTGTTGCAGAAAACAAGGACTACAACTGTTATATTTCTTCTATGTGTGCATCAAATATTTTTGTTTTCTTCACTTATAAAATGTGAGATGTAGATGAGGCTAGTGTGTTTTCAGTTGTATACATGTTTGTTGTACCACGTTATGCGCGAGCATGACTATTGTTTTTATCCAGAAATTATGTATGGTTTAAGAAGATCTGTACAGGTGCTAAGTTGTCAATGGGAAGACTATGATGGTTAAGATTATATGTCAACTGGGCTGAGCCAGGATTCCCAGTGGTTTGGCAGTTACATAGTTTGACAATTACGTAATGATGTAATTAATTCTAGGAGGAGATCTGCTATGAGCAGCCAAACAGTTGCAAGGAAGTTTCTATGGCGTGTGGCCTGCCTCCAGTATACAAACGGATATTCTAGCAAGGCTCTCGCTCTGGATCCTGCATCCAGCTCATAATTATCTGACCTCCAATTTTTGGGTTTTGAGCTAGTAGCATATCTGCCTATCTTGGGATTTATCAGCCTCTGCAGCTTGTGCACCAGCAGCCCACCATGTGACCTGCTGATCCTGAGTTCGTCAGCCCCTGCAGCTACGTGAGTCAGGAGAAGCCTCAGGCCTGATGCCTGACCCACGGACTTGGGACTTGCCAGCCTCTGCAATGGTGTGAGTCCTCTTGAGATAAATCTCTCTAAATAAATACAATTCACTGGTTTTACTTCTCTAGAGAACCCAGCCTAAGACAAATTATTATTATAAGAAAAACAAAATGGCAAGTGTTTTGAAGAATGCCAAAAATCAAGAACCCTCATCCACTGCTAGTGGGAATGTAAAATGGTGCATATGCTGTTGAAAACAATTTGGGAGTTCCTCAAGAAGTTAAACAGAATTACCATTTACCTAAGCTTGTGAAGCAAAGTCTCTGACTCTAATGATTAAGGACAAGACTACTGAAAGGTTGACAGATTAAATCCACCTACAGGCACCTCGGAAGACAAGCCTGGTGGTTTACTTTTGAAAGGTAATTGTCATTGAAAACCCCATGGAATGTGGTTCTACTCTGAACACATAAATCAGAATCGACCCGACAGCAACTAGTTTACCTCTTTAGGAATGTGAAGGAGTTACCCAAATGGATAACTGACATGTTTATTCTACAAAAAGAAATTCTGCCACAAGTGAACGTGTACTTTGGCCAGTTTGTTAAACACTAGTTTGACTGGAGAACTGTGAGATACGGGAGAGAAATAGTAGAGGAAGTTGGAAAGGTGATTGGGGTAGGTGGACATATCATGTTCTAGGACACTTGGCCACTGCAAAGACTTAGGCTTTTGAAAGAAATGCAGGGCAATTTCAGAGTTTTGAGTACAAAAGGAAACTGATCTGATACCTCTTTTAAAAAAGACCTTTGTGTAGTGGTAAATGTAGAAGCTGGAAAATCTGTTAGAAAGGTACGGCCATATCATAAGAAATGTTAAGACTGGAGTGGTGGCAATAAAAGTGAGGGATGGTCCCTAAATACTTTTAAAGTAGAGCCAATAAAAGTTCCTTATGGACTGAAGGTTGGTGTTGAGAGAGAGGAGGCATGCATGAATCCAAAATCTTTGCCCAATGAAAATGAAAACAGAGTGCCATCAACACAGATGTAAAGCCTTCAAGGGAGATTTCATGGTAAAGAATGCAGATGTTACCTGGGGCTTGAAATTGAAATGTGTATAACATACCCAGGTGGGGAAGATACAGAAAACAAGAAACGTTTTTTAAAGAATTGGTTATAATGGGAAAGAAGAATCTCTACAACAGTTGGTGTCAGCACAACTGGATTTCCACATGCAAAAGAGTGAAGTTGGAACCCTACACCACATCATATACAAAAAATTATTTAAAATAGATTAACAACCTAAACATAAGAGGTGAGACAATAAAAGCATTCTTTACAATAGTCCCTAAATGGAAATTGCCCAAATATTCTCAAAAAATAAAAATTTTAAATTATCACGGTGTACTCCTACAATACTACAGTCCAATTTAAGTGAATGAACAACCTATGGAAGTCCTAATGTAAATATGAACTATAGGAATTGGCAAAAGTACATATAGTGTTATTCTATTTGTATACAACACAAAAACAATAAGGTTCAAAAATATGAATATAAGCAAAACAATCATCCTCAAAAATATGGAGATATTGGTTCTATCAAGAGGGCAGAAGGTGATTTAAATAAACTCATGAGGGGGGTCAAAAGCAAAGATGTTTCTATTACTTGGATGTTTATACTTCACTCAACTGTATATTTAGTAAAAACTGTCCATGTATATAAAAAAACTCTAGCCAAATTTAGAAATGGGGGAAAAAACAGTACAATCTGAAAATGGGTGTCTTAGTTATCTAGCACTGCTATAACAGAAACACCATAAACGGGTGGATTTAACAAACAGAAATTTATTTTCTCACAGTTTAGGAGGCTAGAAGTCCAAATTCAGAGTACTGGCTCTAGGGGAAGGCTTTCTCTGCCGGCTTTAGAGGAAGACTGTTGTCTCTTCAGAGCTTCTGCTCCTGGGCAATCTTCATGTGGCTTGGCATCTCTACATCTCTGTCTCTGCCTGCTCCCTTGCTTGCTTAATCTCTTGTACCTCAAAAGAGGTTGACTCAAGACACACCGTACATGAATCCCACCTCATTAGCAAAACAAAAAGAACCTAGTCTCAAATTGTATTATAACCACAGGCATAGAGCTTAGCATTTACCACACATTTTTAGGGGGACACAATTCAGTCCACAACATCCCACCCTATGGCCTTCAAAAATCCATGTCTTTGCCACATGCAAAACACTTTTACCCCATCACATCATCCCAAAAGTCTTAACTCCAAATCCAAAATCTCATCTTCTGAATCATCTATATCAAATATGAGTGAGACTTTAGGTGTATTCTATTCTGGGCAAAATTTCTCTCCATCTGTGAACCTGTGAAATCTAGAATATCAGTTATCTGCTTCCAAAGTATAATGGTGGAACAGACATAAGGTAGACATTTCCACTATAAATGAGAGAAATTGGAAATAAGAATAACAGGCACCAAGCAACTCCAAAACTCAGCAGAACAAATTACATTAGCTCTCAAAGTTTGAAAATAATCCTCTGTTCTCTGAGACCATCTGGGTAGTGGCCCTGCCCTCCAGACTCTGGGTGCTGGCCACCCCCTCTGGATTCCATGTGGCGGCCCCTGGGCCATGGGTTTCAGCACTGCCTTCCAGGTCTATGAGGACAGCAACTCTGCTCCCTCGGTTTGGGTGGTCCCATTTCTCCTAGGCCATCTGAGTGGCAACCCTATCCCTTTGGACCCAGCAGAACCTGTTCTTCTGCCCCTTGGGCATGATAACTCAAACCCTCAGGTGTGGGCATCAGCCCCATCCTCTGGCACTCTTCAGTGGCAAGCCCACACTCCAGAACTGAGATGGAGAAACTATGGCTCTTTGAAACCTAGAAGGCTGCGGCCCCCTCCCCCATTTGATATCCAGGAGACCATGATCCCACCCTTTGAAACGGAGAAGACCCTGCGTTCCGTGCTCCTTCCAACAGTTCTGCTGATCTCTGAGCTGCTCCAGGGATAATTCTTTTCTTGGAGGACAACAGATATAACTCCTTTGGCCTGTTTCCTGCCTGAAGAACTCCAAGATGCAGACACCGTTCTCTCCTTTTATTATTTCTTTGTCTCCTTCACTCTCAGGTGATGGGTTTTCTGCTGTAGTAGTGGGTTAGATCCATCAATCACAGGCTTAATTTCTTAAAAAAAATTTGTGCAGCCACGTCCTTGGAGTCACATGGCCTTCCGTAGTTTGTACATCAGAATTTTCCAAATCTTTAAGCTTAGTTTTCATTTCACGCAGTTCATTTTTAAGCTCATCTCTTTCCATTCATACTCTACTATAAGCTGCATAAAGAAACCATGTGGCCCCTTTAAGATCTTCCTTAGAAACCTCATCATCCAGATATTCAAGTACATTACTTATAAGTTCTACCTTCCACCAAACATTTGGACATAATTCAGACAACTTCATCGTCAGAACATAAAAAGCATCACCTTTCCTCCTTTGTCCAATGACATTTTCATCATTTTCTTTTAAAGCCTCACCAAAAGCACATTTAATGTCCCCATATCTGGTAACATTCTGTTTCTGACACCACATGTATTCTCTAAGACGACAAACTTTCTCTATAGCTCTCCTCACTTCTTTCTGAGCCCTAACTAGAATTGCCTCCGACCTCCATAATTCTACCAACTGCCTCTTCAAGGTAATCTAGGCTTTTACTCTTAGGCACCTTAAAACTCTTCCAGCCTCTACCCATTACCCAATTCCAAAACTGCTTTCACGTTTTAGTTACGTGTTAGAAGAGCACCCCACTCTTCTGGTTCCAAATTCTTAGTTATCTAGTGCTGCTATAACAGAAATACCATAAACAGGTGCCCTTAACAAATTTACTTTCTCGCAGTTTAGAAAGCTAGATGTCTGAATTCAGAGTACCAGCTCTAGGGGAGGGCTTTCTCTCTCATTCAGCTCTGGAGGAAGGTTCTTGTCTCCTCTGAGGTTCTATTCCTGGACAATCTTCATGTGGCTTGGCATCTCTCTTCCCCCATCTCTGCTTGTTTGCTTGCTTGTTTTACCTCTTTTATATCTCAAAAGAGACTGACTCAAGACAAATCCTACATGAATCCTGCCTCATTAACATAGTAGCTAAAAGCGTGGCTGTTAACCATAAGGTTGGCAGTTCTAAACCACCAGCCGCTCCTTTGAAACTCTGTGGGGCAGTTCTACTCTGTTCTATAGGGTTAAGAATTGGAATCGAGTCAGCGGCAATGGGTTTTTTTTTGGTTTATTCCCAAATGGGATTGTAGCCACAGGTGTAGAGGTTAGGATTTACAACACTTATTTTTCAGTGACACAATTCAATCTATAACAATGGGCATATACAGACAATGTACATCAAAATAGATACTGAAACTTCAACAGTTTCCCAGGAAAACAGGTGAAAAACAAGGATATCCAGTATTCCATTCCTATTCAACCTTACCTTAGAAATTCTGTCTAGTACATTCTCCTCCAAAAAAAAGGAAAGGAAAGAGTTAAGGATTTCCAAGGAAAAAATCCACAGTCCATTCTTACAGGATAAATAACTTATGTATGTACAACCCCAAAAGAATATAAAGATGATTATAGAACTGAGAGATTTCAGCACGTTTTTCAGATTGGAAAATAGCGAAGGTTTATTTTACAATTTATATGGACTAATATAAAGCAGTACTAGTATCACAAAAAATTAAAACAAGCCCATGAGAGATAAAAGTACGACCTTGAGTATATCTCACCTGGATTTAGAGACCAGCTCAAGAATAGATTTGATGCACTGAACACTTAAAACCAAAGACCACAGAAGTTGTGGGATGACATCAAGGACATCATACATGAAGAAAGCAAAAGGTCATTAAAAAGACAAAAAAGAAAAGACCAAATGAATATTAGAAGAGACTCTGAAACTTGCTATTGAACGATGAATAGCTAAAGTGAATCGAAGAAATGATGAAGAGCTGAACATAAGTTTTCAAAGGCGAGCTCTAGAAGACAAAGTAAACTATTGTAATAATGAGTCGTGCAAAGGCTTGGAGTTAGAAAACCAAAAAAGAAGAACATGCTTGGCATTTCTCAAGCTGAAAGAACTGAAGAAAAAACTGAGCCTCGAGCTGCAATAATGGTAAAATACTGAAAGACGCAGGAAGTATTATAAGATGATGAAAGGTATACACAATCACTGTACCAAAAAGAATTGGTTGACATTCAACCATTTCAGAAGGTAACATATGATCAAGAACTGATGATACTGAAGGAAGAAGTCCAAGGAGCACTAAAGGCACTGGCTAAAAACAGGGATCCCAGGAATTGACGGAATACCAGTTGACATGTTTCAAGAAACAGATGCAGTGCTCCAGGTACTCACCTGTCTATGGGAAGGATTTCATTTTACTAGGATCCACAATTAACACCCATGCAAGCAACAATCAAGAAATAAATGACATGTTGCACTGGACAAATCTGCTTCAAAATACCTCAAGGTATTAAAAAGCACAGATGTCACTTTGAGGACTTAGGTGCACTTGACCCAAACCATGGTGTTTTTCAATCATCTTATATGTATGTGAAAGCTGAACAGCAAATAAGGAAGACTGAAGAAGAATTGATGCCTTTGAATTATGGTGTTGGTGAAGAATACTGAATATACCACGGACTACCAGAAAAACTAAGAAATCTGTCTTGGAAGAACTACAGCCAGAATGCTCCTTAGAAGTGAGGATGGTGAGACTTCATCTTACGTACTTTGGACATGGTATCAAGAGGGATCAGTCCCTGGAGAAGGACATCATGCTTTATAAAGCAGAAGGTCAGTGAAAAAGAGGAAAACCCTCGAGATGGACTGACACAGTGGCTGCAACAATGAGATCAAACATAGCAACGATTGTGAGCATGGCAGTGTTTTGTTTTGTTGTACAAAGGGTTGCTATGACTTGGAACGGACTGGATGGCACCTAACCACCACAACAATACAGTGGCTGAAAAATTCACCTCAGAAGAAAAATATGTATTTTAGTGAAAATAAAAAGGACTATGAAAAAGTATAATTAAGTAAACAAAAGATCCTAATAAACTACAAAACATTATGAAAGGACATCCGCATTGACTTAAAAAAATGAAAATATAAACTGTGCTTTTACAACACTGTTCTACCCAAATCCTAACTTCCAGAAAATTCCATACAATTTTATTTTTTAGAACTTTCACAAATACCTTACAAATTTACACGTAAGTGCAAATGTTCACAAATACCCAAAATATTTTAAGGAATACTGCATGGAGACTCATCTAAATACACACATACACACTCAACTATGCATACGGACAAGTCTCCATGAAGTATCCCGCAGAAGAGAGCGTGTGTATGTGTAGCATAAAACCTGTTACTCAACCAGTTGCTGTTGAGATGATTTCAATTCATAGCACCCTACAGGACAGAGGAGAACTGCCCCATAAGGTTTCCAAGGAGTGGCTGATGGATTCGAACTGCCAATCTTTTGGTTAGCAGGCGAGCTCTCAACCACTGCGCCATCAGGGCTCCATGTGTATAACAGATTTAATAAATTCTACAGCATATCAGTATGTTGTTGCCAGGTGCCCTCGCGTCACTTCAAACTCACAGCGATCCTATGTACAACAGAAAGAAACAGTGCCGGTCCTGCGCCATCCTCACAATCTTTATGTTTGAGCCAATTTATGCAGCCGCTGTCAATCCTTCTCACTGAGCGTCTTCCTCTCTTTCACTGACACTCTACCAAGCATGATGTCCTCCAGGGATTGGTCTCTCCTGACAACATGTTCAAAGTATGTGAAATGAAGTCTCATCATCCTTGCTTCTAAGGAGCATTCTGGCTATATTCTTCCAAAACAGATTTTGCTCGTTCTTTTGGCAGTCCATGGAATATTATTCTCTGCCAACACCATAATTCAAATGCATCAATCTTCCTTTCTCACTGTCCAGCTTTTGCACGCACACGAAGCGACTGAAAACACATGGCTTGGATCAGCTACACCTTAATCCTCAGTGTCTTCTTTGCTTTTCAACACTTTAAAGAGATCTTTTACAGCAGATCTGCCCAATGCAATATATCATTTGATTTCCTGACTGCTGCTTCCAAAGGTGTTGACTGTGGATCCAAGCAAAATGAAATACTTGACAACTTCAATATATTCTCCATTTATTACGTTGTTTATTACCCCAGTTGTGAGGATTTTTGTGTTATGTTAAGGTATAAGCCATACTGAAGACTGTAGTCTTTAATTTTTACCAGTGTTTCAAGTCCTTTTCTCTTTCAGCAAGCAAAATTGTGTCATCTGCATATCACAAGTTGTTAATGACTCTTTCTCCAATCCTGATGCTGTGTTCTTCATACACTCCACCTTCTCAGATTATTTGTTCAGCACACAGATTGAATAAGTATGGTAAAAGGATACAACCTTGACGCAAACCTCACCTGATTTTAAAGGACGCATTATCTCCTTGTTCTGTTCGAATGACTGTCTCCTTGGTCAATGTACACGTTCCCCATGAGCACAATTAAATGTTCTGGAATTCCTATTTTTCACGTTATTCACAATTTGTTACGATCCACACAGTCGAATGCCTTTGCCTAGTAAAGAAGACACAGAAAAATATCTTTCACGTATTTTCTCCTTTCAGCCAAGATCAATCTGACATCAGCAGATTTCCCTCGTTCCACATTCTCTTCTGAATCTGGCTTGAATTTCTGGCAGTTCCCTGTCAACGTACTGCTGGAACCGTTTTTGAATTATCTTGAGCATAATTTTACTTACACATGATATTAATGATATTGTTTGAAAATTTCCACATTCTGTCAAGTCATTTTTGTTTGGAATGAGCTGGCATATGCATTTTCTCCAGTCGGTTAGCCAGGTAGCAGTCTTCCAAGTTTCTTGGACTAGACGAGTGAGCGTTTCCAGTGTTTCATCTGTTTGTTGAGAGATCTCAATTGGTATTCCATCAATTAATGCAGCTTTGTTTTTTGGCAATGCCTTCAGTGCAGCTTGGAATTCCTCCTTCAGTACTCTTAGTTCTTAATCATATGCTATGTCCTGAAATGACTGAACGGTGACCAGTTCTTTTTGGTACAGTGATAGTGACTCTGTATTCTTTCCCTCATCTTTTGATGCTTCCGGCATGATTCCATTTTTTACCCACAGAATCCTTCAATATTGCAACTCGAGGCTTGAACTTTTTCTGCAGTTCTTTCAGCTTGAGAAATGTTGAGTGTTTTCTTCCCTTTGGGTTTTCTAACTCCAGGTCTTTGTACGTTCCATTTTATTACTTCTGTTTTATCTCAGTCAGAATATTTCTAAAATGGTAGGAAGATTTAGAATATTAGGAGTTCTGGCATAACATGGAAAACATAAGATTTTTAAAGATCCTTCTCAAGATTATGTAAGCTTTACAATAAACTTTACATCAGTAAATAAACATTCCTTTGGGAAGTTTTATATGCATTAAAAGGAAAAATTCTTAGTAAAAACATAACAACCTGATTCTGAAATTCACTTCCAGTAGAAACTCTGATCCTGAGAAGTTAAACACGGTTATCTCCAATGCCAAGCTTTTTTAACACCAAAAACAGAAACAAAAAACAAAAGTGTTAGAAAAACAGAAGCAGAAGCAAATAACCTAAATAAGAAATGACACAGGTGATACAATAGACCCAACTGAAATAAAAAAGATCATAATAGAAGACTACAAAAAACTGTACTCCAAAAAATTTCAAAACCTAGAGGAAATTTCTAGATAGAAACTACCTACCTAAACTAACACAAAATGAAGTAGAAAAATTAAACAGATCCATAACAAAAGAAAATTAAAAAAAAGTCCCAACAACAAAAAAGTCCTTGGCCAGACACCTTCACTGGAGAATCTGAGAAGAGCTCACACCAATATTACTCAAACTATTTTAGAGCATAAAGAAGGAATACTCTCCATTCTATGAAGCCAGCATAACCCTGATAACAAAGTCACGCAAAGACACACACAAAAAAGAAAACTACAGACCAGTATTTCTCATGAATATAGATGCAAAAATTCTCGACAAAATTCTAGCCAATAGAATTCAAGAGCATATCAAAAAAATAATACATCACAACAAAGTGGGATTCATACCAGGTATGCAAGGATGGTTCAATATTAGAAAATCAATGTAATACAACACATAAATAAAACAAAAGAATCACATGATCACCTCAATCGATGCAGAAGAGGCATCTGACAAAGTCCAACACCGATTCATGATAAAAACTCTCAGAAAAATAGGAATAGAAGGGAAATTCCTCAACATAATAAAGGGCATGTATACAAAATCAACAGCCAACATCATTCTCAAAGGAGAGAGACTGAAAGCATTTCCCTTGAGAAAAGGAACCAGATTAGGACGCCCTTTATCACCTCTCTTATTCAACATCGTGCTCGAAGTACTAGCTAAAGCAATAAGGCAAGAAAAATAAAGGGCATCCAAATAGGTAAGGAAGATCTAAAACTATTCCTACTTACAGATAATATGACCTTATACACAGAAAACCCCAAAGAATCCACAAGAAAGCTGCTAAAACTAATAGATGATTTCAGCAAAGTAGCACGATACAAGATTAACATACAAAAATCAGTTGGATTCCTCTACACCAACAAAGAGAATTTCAAAAAGGAAATCAGCAAATTATGACCATTTACAATAGCTCCCAAGAAGATAAAATACTTAGAAATAAATCTAACCAAGGACATAAAAGACCTTTACAAAAAAAGCTACTAAACACTACTGCAAGAAACCAAAACAAACCTACATAAGAAGAAAAATATACCCTGCTCATGAATAGGAATACTCAACATTGTGAAAATGTCAATACTACCCAAAGCGATCTACAGATACAATGCAATCTGGATCTAAACCCTAATAGCACTGTTTAACAAAATGGAGAAACACAACACCAACTTTATATGGAAAAGAAAGAGGCCCCAGATAAAAAAAGCATTACTGTAGAAAAACAAAGTGGGAGGTCTCATACTACCTGATCTGAGAATCTATTATACAGTCATGGTAGTCAAAACAGCCTGGTACTGGTACAACAGACACAGATCAATGGAACAGAATTGACAACCCAGACATAAATCCATCCACCTATGAGCAACTGATATGTGAAAAAGAGCTAACGTCCGTGAAATGGGGAAAAGACAGTCTCTTTAACAAATGGTGTTAGCACAACTGGATGTTCAACCGCAAAAAAATGAAACAAGATCCATACCTCACACTATACACAGAAACAAACTCAAAATGGATCAAAGACCTAAATATAAAACCTAAAACAATAAAGATCATGGAAGAAAAAATAGGAACAATGCTAAGGGCCCTAATACATGGCATGAATCGAATACAAACTATAATTAACAATGTGCAAACACCAGAAGAGAAACGAGATAACTGGGCACTCCTAAAAATCAAACACTTATGTTCATCAAACGACTTTACCAAAAGATTAAAAGAGAACTTATGGATTGGAAAAAAACATTCTGGCTATGACATATCCAACAAGGGTCTAATCTCTAAAATCTAAAAATACTTCAATGCCTCAAGAACAAAAAGACAGATAATCCAATTAAAAAATGAGCAAAGGATATGAAAAGACACTTCACCAAAGAAGACATTCAGGTGGCTAACAGACACATGAGGAAATGCTCCCTATCACTAGCTACTGGAAAAATGCAAATCAAAACTACAATGATACCATCCCACCCCATTACTAGCACTAATCAAAAAACAGAAAATATGTTGGACAGGCTGCAGGGAGATTGGAACTCTTATGCACTGCTGGTGGGAATGTAAAATGGTACAATCACTTTGGAAAACAATATGGCGCTTCCTTAAAAAGCTAGAAATAGAAATACCATATCCTCCAGAAATCCTACTCCTTGGGAATATATCCTAGAGAAATAAGAACTGTCACACGAATAGACATAGGCACACCCACGTTCACTGCAGCACTATTCACAATAGCAAAATGATGGAAATAACCTAAGTGCCCATCAGCAGATGAATGGATAAACAAATCATGGTACAAACACACGAACACTAGCAACGACAAAGAACAATGATGAATCCGTGAAACATCTCACAACATGGATGAATCTCACCGAAGCAGAATGTAGAGCATTTTCTTTATGAACTATGTTATGCCAATTTACCTAGATGTTCCCTGAGACTATGGTCCCAGCCCTCAGCCCCAGCAGCTTGGTCCCTCAAGGTGTTTGGATGTGTCTAGGAAACTTCCATGACTTTGCCTTGGTCGAGTTGTGCTGACTTTTCCTATACTGTGTATTGTCTTTCCCTTTACCAAATTTGACACTTGTCTACTATCTAGTTAGTGATTTTCCTTCCCCCCTCCCTTCCTCCCAACTATCAAAGAATGTCTTTTTCTGAGTGTAAACCTTTTCTTGAGTTCTTATAATAGTGGTCTCATATAATATTTGTCCTTTTGTGATTGACTTATTTCACTCAGCGAAATGCCCTCCAGATTGATCTGTGTTGTGGGATGTTTCATGGATTCATCATATTAGTTTGCCATTGACCATCTAAGATACATCTATTGGTCCCATCCATTCTGGAGCAAAGGAGAATGAAGAAAACCAAAGACTCAAGGAAAATATCATCCCAAAGGACTAAAGGACCACATGAACCAGAGCCTCCACCAGCCTGAGCCCAGAAGAACTAGATGGTGCCTGGTTTCTACCACCAACTGCTGTGACAGGGATCACAACAGAGAGTCCTGGACAGAGCGGGAGAAAAATGAAGAACAAAATTCAAATTCATGAAATAAAACAAGACTTACTGGTCTGACAGAGACTGAAGGAACCCTCGAGACTATGGCCCCCAGACACTCTGCTAACTCAGAACTCAAACCACTCCTGAAGCCCACTTTTCAGACAAACATTAGATAGGCCTACAAAGCAAACAGTAACACAGGTGAGGAACAGGCTTCTTACTTCAATCTAATATATGAGACCAAATGGGCAACTCTCACCCAAAAGGAAGATGAGAAGGCAAGAAGGGACAGGAACTGAACCAATGGACGCAAGGAACCTGGAGCAGAAAGGGGGAGAGTGCTGTCACATTGTAGAGACTGCAACCAATATCATAAAATAATAAATGTGTAAATTTTTGAATGTGAAACTAACTTGAGCTGTAAACTTTCACTTAAAGCACAATAAAATTAGAAAAACAAACCCTCAGATTCAAATCTAAGACTGCGGGAATAGTAAAATAATTTATTGAGTTTAATACCAACTCTAGGCAGAGACAGGCTGGGAGGACATGGACCTCGATTGGGTATCGTGCTTCTCACATACCTGAAAGGCTCAAACAAATCCAATATCCCAAAGGAGGAAAAAAAAATGATGGTTTTGGATGCACCACACACGATCCAGCTGGACTCACTCTCCTGCCTCATTCCTTTGGTGAGGTTGTGAGAGTGCTAAACCTCACACAGGACGCCATAAGGAGCAAGGGTTCTTTCCCTACTCTCTCTCCTGTTCTTCACCCCATCACACAGTGTGCGAGTTGGAGCTATAGTGTTAGGACTGCACAGAAAAGACTGCAGTGCCTGGGGGAAGCCAAGAACACTGTTTGCAGTGATAGGATGAGGATGACTCTGGAGAGCCTGGGACTCAGTCACAGCTGTTCTGATTCAGGCTCTGGTCAGGAAATCTGTCATTCAACACAGAGTACCAAGGCCCAAGGTGGGGACAGTAATGCCCCACGGTGCCAACTTGGAACTCACATAAGGAAGGTGACCCAGGCATCCCAGGCTTAAAAAACCGCATATGTGTAGAAGAAGGGCCCTGTGGCAATGGTGCTTCTTAGGATATAGACCTTGGCCTCTTCTGCCACCTTTTACATCAAAGAACAAACACATAGCTGTGAGTACACAGTTCGCCCCCCACAAATCATATTTAGTCTCACCCCTTCATGCTAAGAATTACTCAGTTCTCTGTGGTACTCACCATTTCCTGTCCCCCGCCTAATGAAGTCTAAGTGAATGTCCTCTCTACAGCCCAAGAAGCCAGTTAAGGCAGGAGGGATGGGAGTGGAACCCAGGCCACTAGGAAGTCTGGAGGCAGATGAACAAAGTTTGGTCTACACAGCCAGTCAGCAGTTGAAATCCTTACTCCTGATTGACAGATGTGTTAGGTGGTTGCCCTAGGTCCCCAGCTGTCTAGACTGGACCACTTCTTCCTGATCACACCTGGGACCTGAAATGGAAGAAGATGAGGGGTGGGGTGGGGGAGACGTATTGAGTAACTAAGGAGTAACGGGTTCCTGGCTTCAGTTCTTTCCCTGGGCAAGGCTCCCTCCCAGGCTCAAGGCATTGCTCAGCTTGAGGGTACTGACATTTTCATACATGTCTACAGGTTTCAACCTTATGACAAGGAAATCACAGATGGAGCAATCTCATCCCAGAGCATGGGAAGCATCCATGCACGGCCAGGCTATCAAATTTGAATCTGATTTCCACAGGATGTCAGAGGCCCGAGGTTCAGACTGTGCTTTCACCTGGGTATCTTTGCTCCTTGTAAATCCATATAGACGCTTATATTTGATATCAATATGGGTGAATTTTCAGGCAGAACGTATTTTTTCAAGTTTGGTCAATGAATCCATCGCAACTCCTTGATTTTTCATTATATGCAGTTAAACTCTTTTTTTAAATTCTCATTTCATTCACAACATTGTAAAACATGATCTTTAATTTTCCTGTCAATTTTGAAATAAACATTTCTTTCCTCCTCTTGGATTTTTTTTTCCCCCACTCTGGGGGAATGAGCTACTCAGACGCCTGATTATGCAAGATCTTGTTACTAAAAGGAAAATACATGTCTTTCATTCTACATGGGATTGATGTCATGGGAGTGTCGGGAGGAATGTGGAGATTTCAAAAATTAAATGCCAATCCTAGGCAGTGATAACCTAGAGAAAATCACATTTGAGAAACTGCAGCAAGGAAAGAATAGACTCTTTAAAGTGAATAGATCTGGATCAAGTGGTTTTTAGTAAGGAAAGAAAATAACAAGACCACTTTCATAATAGCAACTCCAGTGAATTAAAATTCTAAATATTACAAAAATGGATTATATTAATTACTTTGAAGTTAGCAATGATTTCTCAAACAGGACGAATTGCACATTTTAAGTCTGAAATACATGCAGTTGCTACTTGATTCTTTAGTATCTGTTTATTCCTATCTTTTGCTCTATGTAAAACGGTAACCTTTTGGCACATCTACCTTCAAAAGATTTGATGTACACACACTACCTTCATTCTACATTGTTACATTTGGTTTAAATACAAACATATTCTCTATTCATACTGCAAATGCTATACACATTACTCATCAATTTAAGTTATACTTCTTTATGTCCAAACTTATATCCTATAAAGCAACACTTTCCAATAGTTGCACATTTCATATTTATCCAAATTAGAGCACTTTCTAAAATAATTATTTTAAAGAATGAGGCACACTCAGCAACACTGTAGTGTGACAGATCAGGATGCGCTGAAACAAATTTTGAGTATTTCTGTAACGCGCTCCTCTCTTTTTTTCCCTCATTCCCAATATTTGCTGCTCTTACAATGGAAATATGCTGGGTTTTTACTGCAAGAAGCCCCTAACCTATTCAGTGTGGCTATTTGGTAGCAGACATTCCGGTTGCCTCATTAGCATCTAATCCAACACAGAACCTGTCTCTATCCACGCTTAGGATCCTGGAGAAACACAGGGTGTGTGATCTCTGTAAACTGCTTCCCTCCTATGCTAACCTTGTTCAGCCATATCACGTTGGCCATATTGTCTCTGGCACAATCGTGAAGGAAATTTCCGCCTTAGAGCCAAATGAATTCCTGGAAATACGTCTCTTAATAAATATTTTCTTCCTCAAATGGGGCTAACTATGGTCCTAAATGAACGTACTAACTCCATTCATGTTTCTTACTACTTCAACTCTGTCAAAGCCATATAACAATTAAACTAAAAACTAAACCCCTGTCGTGCAGTCAATCCCGACTCAGAGCAACCCTACTGCTTAGGATATAATTGCCCCACTGGGTTTCCAAGGCTGTAATCCTGACAGAAGCAGATTGCCACATCTTTCTCCCACTCCGAGGACGGTGGTTTCTAACCCCCGCCCTTTCGGTGAGCAGCCGAGCGCTTAACCACTGCGCCACCAGAGCCCATTAACAATTAAACTAGGGGAGGGGGATGTGCCTCCCAACCACCTCACCTTCTGTAGAACCACCAACAGCTTCACAACAGTCCCTGCGTGCGGAGACGCAGGCGGGCAAGGCAGCCTGGGGCCGGGCAAACGGAGGCGGCGGGAGCAGGGCACTCACGCAGGCTAACTCCCTGCGTTTCGCTGACGCCTGTGACTCCGCAAGCCTCACAAAGTCCCGGCCAAGCTGACAGCCGTGGTCTCGCCCACGCACGGCCTCCCCGCTTAATGCGCCGACACACCTACGGCCCGCCCGCCTACCTGGCCGACCCGACGCGGCGGCCGCCGGAGTCCTCAGCCGGGCGGAGAGAGCGGGCGCTTCGCTGCGCCGCCGGCCGAGGCCGAAGCCCCGCCAAAGAGGCAGCGACGGCGGCGGGAGGCCCCGCGGCCCTGGACCCTCCAGGGAGGCCGCAGAGGCCAGGCCTGCGCAGCAGAGGGAGCAACGGCCTCGGAACCGCAGCGGGCCCTCCCTGGCCGGCGGGCTCTACCTGCTACCGGGCCAGGCCCGACGCCCAGGGCGGCGCAGACGTACCTCACGCCCCAGCCGGGTGACCGCCACTCACAGCTGCCGGCCGCGCACGCGCACTTCCGCTTCCTGCTCTGACCCACGCGGCGGGAGGGGCGGGGTTCCGGCGCGGACGCAGAGGGCTCCGCCCAGTGGTGGGCATGTTTGGGGACTTGTTGGACTCCGACCTTCCTTCTGTCTTTTTTCCCCCATAAACAAAAGCTTTAAAGCAACCAACCAACCAGTTGCCAACTAGTCAACATAACTCATAGCGGCCCAACATAGGACTGAGTAGAACTGCCCCACATGGCAGCCCACTGCCACACCTTTCTCCTGCAGAACAGCTGGTGGGTTCCAATCGCGGACCTTTCCGTTAGCAGCCGACCACTCAACCACCGCGCCACCAGAGCTCCTCTGGTGTTTCTTAAATGAGTACATAAGCTTAAACACACGTTTCAGTTCAACAACATCTGCGGAAATTAAAAACACATTTGTCATTAAGGCGGCTTTAACGCCCTGTTACATATTCATTCGTTAGGTTCTGCTGAGTACTCTATTCGAGTTGTGTTGTCCAATACGTTAGCCATTAGCCGTATGTGACCATTTAAATTAAAATTCATTAGAGTTATAATTTCAACTCTTCAGTTGCAATAGGCACATTTCAGGGACCTACATAGTTACACGAGGCTAGTAGCTATTTTGTTCACAGTGTAGAAATAGAACATGTCTATTATCACAGGAAAAATCCTGAAGTACAATGCTGTCAGTGATAGGATAATATCCATACATCTAGAAGGAAGACCAGTAAATAGGACTGTTGTTCAAATTTACCCACCAACGATAATGCCAAAGATGAGGAAATTGAAGATGTTTATCAACTTCTGCAGTCTGAAATTAATCAAACACGCAATCAAGATGCATTGATAACTACTGGTGATTGGAATGCAAAAGTTCGAAATAAAGAAAAAAGATTGGTATTTGGAATATACGGCCTTGGTGACAAAAACGGTGGCGATCCCATTATAGAATTTTGCAAGACAAATGACTTATTCATTATAAATTCAACAATACAAACGGCAACTATATAGGTGGACCTCACTGAATGAAAAACACGGAAATCAAATCAACAACATCTGCGGAAAGAGAAGATGGAAAAGTTCAATATCATCAGTCAGAACAAGGCCGGGGTAGACTGTGGAACAATCAATTGTTCATATGCAAGTTCAAGTTGAAGCTGAAGAAAATTAAAACAAGACCATGAGAGCCAGAGTACAACCTTGAGTATATCCCACCTGATATTAGAGACCATCTCAAGAATAGATTTGAGGCAATGAACACCAATGACCAAAGACCAGATAAGTTGTGGGATGAATCAAAAAATCATACATGAAGAAAGCAAAAGGTCATTCAGAAGACAGGAAAGAAAGAAAAGACCAAAATGGATGTCAGAAGAGACTCTGAAACTTGCTCTTGAATGTAGAGTAGGTAAAGTGAGTGGAAGAAATGATGAAGTAAAAGAGCTGAACAGAAGATTTCAAAAGGCGGCTCAATAGGCAAAGTAAAGTATTATGAAATGTGCAAAGATCCTGAGTTAGAAAATCAAAAGGGATGAACATGCTTGTCATTTTTCAAGCTGAAAGAACTAAAGTAAAAATTCAAACCTCAAGTTGCAAAAGTGAAGGATTCTATGGGCAAAATCCACATATGTCTGTCAGTTTTTCATACAGTAGTGGCTTGTGTGTTGCTATGATGCTGGAAGGTATGCCACTGGTATTTCAAATAGCAGCAGGATCACCCTTGGTGGACAGGTTTCAGCTGAGATTCCAGACTAAGACAGACTAGAAAGAAGGACTTGGTGGTCTACTTCTGAAAAAAATTAGCCAGTGAAAACCTTATGAATAGCAGCAGAACATTGTCTGATATAGTACTGGACAATGAGCCCTTCAGGTTGGAAGGCACTCAAAGTACGAGTGAGGAAGAGCTGTCTCCTCAAAGTAGAGTTGACCTTAATGACGTGGATGTAGTCAAGCTTTCGGGATCTTCATTTACTGATGTGGCATGACTCAAAATGAGAAGAAACAGCTGCAAACATCCATTAATAATTGGAATGTGGAATATACGAAGTATGAACCTAGGAAAATTGAAAGTCATAACAAATGAAATGGAACACATAAAGATCGATATCCTAGGCATTAGTGAGCTGATATGGACTGGTATTGGCCATTTTTAATTGGACAATCATATGGTCTACTATGCCGCGAATGACAAATTGAAGAGAAATGACATTGCATTCATCGTCAAAAAAAAGCCATTTCAACAGCTATGCTGAAGTACAATGTAGTCAGTCATAGGATAATATCCATACACCTACAAGAAAAGTTAATACGACTATTATTCAAATTTACAACCAACCACTAATGCCAAAGTTGGAGAAATTGAAGGTATTTACCAACTTCTGCAGTCTGAAATTGATCAAACATGCAATGATGATATATTGATAATTACTGGTGATTGGAATGGGAGAGTTGAAAACAAAGGTGAAGAAACAGTAGGTGGATAATATGGCCTTTGTGATAGAAATGACGCTGGAGATCTCATGAAAGAATTTTGCAAGACCAATGACTTTTTCATTGCAAACATCTTTTTTTCACCAACAAAACCAGCGACTATACACTTGGAACTCGCCAGATGGAATACACAGGGATCAAATTGACTACATCTGTGGAAAGAGACCATAGAAAAGCTCAATATCATCAGTCAGAACAAGGCCAGTGGCAGTGGACTGTAAAACAGACCATCAATTGCTCCTACACAAGTTCAAGCTGAAGCTGAAGAAAATTCTAACGAGTCCATGAGAGCCAAAGTACAACCTTGAGTATATATCCCACGTGAATTTAGAGACCATGTCAAAAAGATCTGATGCAATGAACACTAATGACTGAAGACCAGACGAGTTGTAGAATGACATCAAGGACATCATATATGAAGAAAGGAAAAGTCATTAAAAAGTCAGGAGAGAAAGAAAAGACCAAAACGGATGTCAGAAGAGACTCTGAAACTTGCTCTTGAACACAGAGTAGTTAAAGTAAAAGGAAGAAATGATGAAGTAAAAGAGCTGAACAGAAGATTTCAAAGGGCAACTCGAGAAGACAAAGTACTGTAATGAAATGTTCAAAGACCCAGAGTTAAAAAACCAAAAGGGAAGAACACACTCAGCATTTCCAAGCTGAAAGAAATGAAAATTCAAGCCTTGAGTTGCAATACTGAAGAATTTTTGTTGTGGTTAGGTGCCATGGAGTCAGTTCAGACTCATAGCCATCCACTGTGCAATAGAAGGAAACACTGCCCTGTCCTGTGCCATCCTCACAATCGTTGTTATACTTGAGCCCTTTGTTGCAGCCACTGTGTCAATCCATCTCACTGAAGGTTTTCCTCTTTTTCGCTGACCCTCTACTTTACCAAGCATGATGTCCTCTTCCAGGGACTGATCCCTGCTGATAACATGTCCAAATTATGTGAGACTCAGTCTCGCCATCCTTGCTTCTAAGGAGCATTCTGGTTGTACTTCTTCCAGGACAGATTTTTTTTTTTTTTTGGCAGTCTATGGTATATTCAGTATTCTTCACCAACACCACAATGCAAAGGCATCAATTCTTCTTTGGTCTTCCTTTCAAATGCAAAAGAGGCGATTGAAAACACCATGGCTTAGGTCACGTGGACCTTAGTCTTCAAAGTGACATCTTTGCTTTTCAACACTTTAAAGAGGTCTTTTTGTAGCAAGTTTGCCAAATGCAATTCATCTTTTGATTTCTTGACTGCTGCTTCCATGGGTGTTTATTGTGGATCCAAGTAAAATGAAGTCCTTGACAACTTCAAACGTTTGTCCATTTATCATGATGTTGCTTACTGGTCCATTTGTGAGGATTTTTGTTTTTTCTATGTTGAAGTGTAATTCACACTGAAGACTGTGGTCTTTGATCTTCATCACAAGTGCTTCAAATCCTCTTCACCTTCAGCAAGCAAGGTTGTGTCATCTGCACATTGCAGGTTAATGAGTCTTCCTCCAATCCTGATACTCCGTTCTTCTTCATATAGTCCAGCTTCTCGGATTATTTGCTTAGCACACAGATTGAACAGGTATGGTGAAAGGATATAACCCTGACACATGCCTTTCCTGACTTTAAAGCACACAATATCTCTTTGTTCTATTCGAACGACTGCCTCTTGATCTATGTACTGGCAATGAAGGTGGGATTTATTACCTACCTAACACAAGCCTCCATCTGTATTAAAGTAGTCAACCGGCCCTATTGGGTTAGGGTACAAACCCCTTCCCAGTGCTGATTCCTACAATTATTCAGCATTATGTGGTGAGTCCGCCTGAACTTGGAACCGCAGTAAAGCCTGATTATCTTTCCAGGCTGATTCCCATCCCTTGTCTTCCTCCTAATCTACTTATTCTAGTTAATAATTCCATCTTTGTCTGCTAAACTCTTGCCAGTAAAATCATTATTCCCTTTACCCCCAGCAGCTGTGTCTGAAGAGCCTCTGACTGAGTCATTGCTTCAGGCATCATCTGAGTCATTGCCTGGAGCATCACCTGGGGTAGATGCCTTACAAGACATTGCTGAATGTTCCCAGGACCCAGCCCCACTACCCATTTTTGCTTTTATATGAATAAATAGAATTTAGTCTCAGTGAGTCTCTAAAGGAGGTACAAAGTATGACCCAGGAGGAGGTATGTTACAATCCAAAAGAATGGCTTGACTTTTCTAACACGTACAAACAGAAACATGGGGAATAAGTGTAGGAATGGCTATTAAAGGTGTGGGTAATGGTGCAAAGATAATAAAGTTGGATCAGTCTGAGTTTATTGATATAGGCTCACTAAGGAAATACTTTCCATTCAATGTTTCAGATTGAGAGGTTAGGAAAGGAGCTAATAGTTTATTTGGTTTGTTCACTGAAGCATGGATTAT